GACAACCTATGAGATCTCCCACCCCGTCTAAGCCAAATTTTCCATGATTATCATCAAATTCACAGAGCTGACCCATAGTACCTGGACTGGTCCCCCCCCCTTCCCAGGCCCCTCTCCGCCTGCTCCTATGTGTTGTGGTTCCTTTCTGCTGCCTTCCCAGCTTCCCATTTGCGGCCTCCTATGGTATCCAGAGCCTACAGTAACCCATGGGAGCAGACACCACGGGGATGGGCAGCCGTATAAAACCCTAACAGAGCCATGTAGTTTCCAAGGGATCGGATTCATTCAGAAGCAGTTGTATTGTCTCACCCCGAGTGGGCTCCTCTCACACTCTGGACATGGCAAGGAGCTGCCCGCACACCTGTCTCCGGCCCCTAACCGCTGACTATAACCCAAAGGGAGGTTAGTAAATGCTGTGTGCGCAGGGCCGAGCACAGTGGGGCTGGAGGGGCTCCGGCAGTACGAATGAACGGACACCAATAGGCAGGTCCGAATTCTGTTCCGGAGTTGTGGGGTCTCCGCAGAACGAGAACATCCCGTGCTGGAGAGCTGGCGGGGGAGGGCTGGGGTCACCACCTGGCAAGGGGGAGGGGCGACATTTCCAAGTGACTTAGAGGCCTAAGTCCTAGTTCCAGAAGTGACTTAGGCACCCGGAAGCCTAAAGCCCCATTGACTTTCCATGAGACTGAGGCTCCTAAGTCACTTGGGAGCCTTTGAAAATCTGACTCTGTCATTGTATGTCTCTGACCCTCTTGCAGCGGGGGAGGGGGCGTCTGGAATTGCCTCCCCATCGCTCCCTGAGCTGAACAAGCCTCTGGAGGACGCCCCGGCCCAGGCACTGGGAAGCAGCCACATGCCGCACCAAGGTGAGAACTGCGTCCCCTCCGAGTGCTGCTCCAGCTTCCAGCCCGCCCGGGCTGCAGCGAGCCGCCGGGCGGGCGTTACGGCGGATGTGGCTCGGTGCAAAGCGGGGGAAAGAGGCGAGGCTGGGGGGATCCGGTCGACTCGCTTTGGCTAGAGAGGGCGGGCTGGTCCCTAGAGCGCAGGAGATGCGGCTTCTGCTCCCAGCTCTGCCGCCGCTTCTCTGAGCCGGGCCCCGAGCTGGGGGCGAAGGAGACTCCTTGGACTGCGAATAGAGCCGGGTCCGAAACGGCCCCCAGCAGACCCCAGAGCAGCCTGAGGGGGGTGCGCCCCCCCGGTGCGCACAGGGTGTATCCCGGGGTGGCGGAGCGCATGGTTAGGGTCACCCCAATGCCACCCTCCACCTACGTCATGCTGCTGCTTCCCACAGCACAGGGCAAGGCCAACCCTTTCGGGGGGTCCCGGCAGGCCCCAGACATCTGCCCGCCGGTTAGAAAGCGGCATCCAAGCCGGATTGGAGGACGCCGAGTGACAGAGAAGCCGCCGTGTCCCTCGTCCCACTGTTCCAGGGGTTCAGTTCCCTCCCCGTTAACACTTCGCACCTTATTTCTAGCCGGATTTACCGGGCCCGGCATCCGCCCCCCAGAAACCTCCTCTCGAGGGACCGGAGACAACATGCTCCTGAAATAGTCCGGCTGACGTCCCCCTGCACCCTCCGCTCCCCTTCCCCAGCCCTGCCCCGCACACGAGCCCCCTTGTCTCCTGCTAGGCCGCCTGCGGGTGGGGGGTCACCTCTCTGCTTGCGGGGGCCCCACGTCACCCGTCTGCCCGGGCTCTTCCCCAGGGGCTGGCGGCGTGAACCAGCTGGGGGGGCTCTTCGTGAATGGCCGCCCCCTGCCCCCGGGCAAGAGGAAGAGGATCGTCCAGCTGGCGGCGAGTGGGGTGCGCGCCTGTGACATCTCCCGGAGCCTGAAGGTGGGAATCGGACCGGGGGGGGGGGAGGAGGGGAGTTTATTCCTGATCCCAGCACATGGGCGGAGGGTGTCATAGGCCAGGGGAGGCTGAGCCTCCCCGACAGCCAGGCCCATGCTCGGCCCCGAGGCCCCACTCCCACGTCCCGCTCTTCCCTCCCCCCCACCCCGCTGCTCCTCTTCCAGCCCCCGCCCTGCCTCTCCCTCCACGCCGGCAGGGGCTTGCGCTGGCCGGCGGGCCGGGGGCTTGGGGCAGGCAGCTCAGCTGGGCTGGCCAGGGGTCCTCATGCCATGGTTGGGGGCTCAGGGCTCCTCTGGCTCTGGCGGGGGGGAGAAGGGGCGGGGCTTCATACAGAAGGGGCGGGGCCTCAGGCAGAAGGGGCGGGGCAGAGGCGGGGCCTCAGGCAGAAGGGGCGGGGCAGAGGCTAGCCTCCTGGAATGGGGACTTCACGCCCCGCCCATGTCCCAGCAAATATACAGATAGCAGCAAAACACAAGGGGAGGACCTGGGGCAGCTGTGAGGAGACAAGCAGAGGCCGAGGGGCAAAAGCCACGCAAGGAAGGGCCGGGGGGAGCCTGGGCAGCAGAGGGCCAAGGGAGGCTGGCAGGGAGGGTGCTGATTTACGGGGCTTGATCCCCTATTTCTCCCATCTCCTTAGGCCCCCGAGTCCCCGCCCGGCGCCCCTGCCTCAGTGTCTCTCTCTCTCTGTACCGCAGGTTTCCAATGGCTGCGTGAGCAAGATCCTGGGCCGCTACTACCAGACAGGCGCCGTGGAGCCGAAGGCCATCGGCGGCAGCAAGCCCCGCATGGCCACCCCAGAGGTGGTGGCCCGAATCGCGCAGCTGAAGCTGGCGCACCCGTCCATCTTCGCGTGGGAGATCAGGAGGAAGCTGCGCTCTGAAGGCATCTGCGCCAGCGACCGGACGCCCAGCGTAAGCCACCGGCCGGAGAAGTCACAGAGCCCGGGCCTGGGCTGGCGCCGAGGGCTGGGACTGCAGGGCTCTGGCCCTCTGCTTCCATCCCAGGCGATGCACAGCCCACGCACGGTCAGCTGGGAGCGGCTTTACTCTTGCTACTGTGTAGGGCAAGCCAAGGGTATGGGGAGGGGGCGCTCACTACCCGGACTGCCCCCTCCAGACTCGCCATCCATCGGCACTGTCTCACAGGCTCCACGGGCGAAGTGGCTGGAGGAGGGGTCAGGAGGAGATGGGACATGGCCTGCCAGATGGTGCAGCGAGGGCCTCCCACGCAGAGGGGAAGGAAGCGGGGGGAGAAGCGGACAGCGGGGGGAATGGTGGGGAGCTGCCCTGAGAGCAGCGGGGGGTTAGCGCTCATGCCAGGGGTGCTGTCACTGCACCCGACAGACCGTGGGGCTGGTTCTGTTGGAGACCCAAGTGGAACCACCCGTCTGCCTGTCAGGTCAATGGAATCGACAGTGCGAAGACAGAGCCTGGCAGTTCCCGAGGGCAGTGAGAGCACTGCGCTCAGTGGGCGCCCCCGGTGAAAGCCAGGCTGTTTTCTGGGAGGCTCCCCCACAATGGAGCAAATTCCCAGGGGAAGTCAGAACGCCCCTCACCTGCGTGTTCCCAGAGACAGAGGCTCACTAGCTTTCCCTCGGTGGCAGCCGGTGCCATCCCCCGGGGCAGACCACAGCGACCAATCGATCAGAAGGGCCCCAGACAGAAAGAGAAAGAGAATAAAATGTCACCTCCAGGGTCAGAGCACAGGGTTAGATTTTCTAATCACAGAGTCTCTCCAGTTTCCGCCTCTGGTTTGCAGATTGTCTCGCTGCAGATATTATTATTCCATTGACATTAAAGGGCTTTCCAGCTTTCCAGCTCCTTGGGCGCAGATGGGCGCCGTCCCTTGGGGGACAGCACGAACCCAAGCGCAGTCAGGGAAACTCAGGAGCACCGGTCCTTCTGGAGGTTCGGCTCCGAGACTTCCACAACTCCAGGCCTGCCCGCATCTGGCCCCCAGCTGCCCCACGTCTCCGTCTACACGCCCTGGGCCAAATGAAGTCAACAGAGAGACTCCTGTTGACTTCACTCCCCCTGCTCTGGCCATTCAGTGGGCGAGAGCTGCTTAGCTCCAGGGTCTGACTGGGTCACTGACTCTGTCCCCAAGCGACTCCCTGCGTCTTCTTTGCCCAGGTGTCCTCCATCAACCGGGTGCTGAGGAACCTGCAAGGGGACATGCGGCTCACAGCTGACTTTGGTTTCATGATGGAGCCGTCACCACCAGGTGAGACACGCCGTGGAAAGTCCCCAGGTGCAAAGACCCTGGGGGCAACTGCAGCCAGCATGTAACAGGAACACGCTCGTAACATAAATCCGTGGAGAGACACTCACGGGTACCCCCTGTCAGGGAGTGTGGGGGGATGCCAGGCCCTGCCCCCCCCTTCCTGCGATTCACCATGACTCTCAGCCAGCCAGTAAAGCAGAAGGTTTATTTAGATGACAGGAACACAGTCCAAGATAGGTCTTGCAGGCACAGACAACAGGACCCCCCTCAATTAGGTACATCTTGGGGTCCCAGGGCATCCTAGCCACCTTGGGAGGTCAGAGTCCTGTCTGCCTCCCAGCCCTTCCACCAGCCAGCTCTGAAACTCCCTCCCCTTTGTTCCGTTTCCCAGGCAAAGGTGTCACCTGGCCTCTAACCTCTTCCTGGGTTCTCATGTTACATGCTCAGGTATCTTCCCTCGGCCAGTCTCCCATCCCCCAATGCAGACCATCCTAGCCACACTCCCTTCTCAGCATTCACAGACCACGTTAAGAACAGGCCCAGTTCGTCACCCCCCCCCCCCACCACACACAGATTGCCACCCCCGCAGACATGTCCTCCCGTGGCCTCTATGCAGCGGGACGCTGACCTGTCCCCCAGCGATAGCGTCTGTACAACCAGAGCCCCCTCCAAGGCCCTGCTAACACAAAGCTGGTAGGTAGCCGCTCCCTCCACTCTGGGAAACGCATCAGAACAACCCACTTAGAATCATAGAATATCAGGGTTGGAAGGGACCTCAGGAGGTATCTAGTCCAACCCCCTGCTCAAAGCAGGACCAATCCCCAACTAAATCACCCCAGCCAGGGCTTTGTCAAGCCGGGCCTTAAAAACCTCTAAGGAAGGAGGTCCTGGCAGACCCATATTTTAACCCTAACCCCACAAATTCCTTCCCTCCTGCCAAGGGAAACCCCGGAGAGCAGGCGCAGGTGGCCTGGGCCAGTATCAGCTGCTCTGGGTCAGCCTCTTGGGGGTCTGAGACCTCCCCCCCCCGGACTAGCAAGCACAGCACACACCATCCCCAAGGGGTAGGGAGACTCTTCAGTCACTCGCCAGCGCCCCCTTTGGCTGGCTGGTCAGTGTCCTGGGGGATACCGCGGCCAGTCCTTGGTGGGTGGAGATCAAAGCGGGGGGAAGAAGGGGGCAACTCCAAGGGGCCCCATTGTCGTCCCCTCCAGAACGCTCCCACGGAGACATTTATTATTATTAGCACCATATTGTGCATCGTGCATGCGGTTATATTAGTGAACAGCTCGGGACTCTGCGTCTAGCTCCCCGCCCCATTGCTGGCCGCCCCCCCGGAGACCCCCCCCCCCCCCCCCCCCCCCGACCGGGGAGGGGCCCCCCGACAGGAAAGCGCCACTCCCCCCAGCGCGCTTCACTCCCCCTCCCCTGGCCAGGAGCAGCCGGCAGCAAGGGCTCAGCAGAGGCGCCCGCGTCCCGGTGGCACCCTGGGAGGAGCTCAGCGTCGGCCAGGGGACCCCCGCCGGGCGTCCAGCACCGGAACAGGACGATCTTCTCAAGCCAGCAGTCCGTGGCCTTGGAGAAAGGTGAGTGGCTTGAGGGCTGGGGGTGAAGCCGCGATCTGATTCTCCCCCCCCCCCCCCCATGTACACTCAGGCCAGGGACACGACACGCCGTTGGCTTTCCAGCTTCAGAGCATGACCCAAGCGCTGAGGGACAGGGGCAGGAAGGCACGTCCCCCAGGGGCAGGTTATGCCATCATTGTCCTTTCAATCGTCCTCTGGAGCAGCCGGCGCTAGTTACGGTGGGACCCCGGCTCTGAATCAGCCGGGCCATTCTCATAATCCGAAATAGAGTCCCTGTTGAGATCAGTGGGGAGCAAGCATTGATGGCAGGGTGTGGCCCCGTGTTGTGGGGGAGGTGTTGACCTAGCTGTGCATCTCTGGGGTGGTAGCTGTGCGCCAAGGCAGGATGACTTTGCTCCAAACTCCCTTGCAGAATTCCAGAGAGGGCAGTACCCCGACTCCGCTACCCGGGAGAAACTGGCCTCAGCCACCCAGCTCCCCGACACCACCATCAGGGTAAGTGGGAAACGCCCCTGACCACCCCCCCCAAGCTGGCTCTGCGCATGCACACCCAGGCTGGTGCCAGCTGTGTTTGCACACCTGTGCCAGTGCGAGAGCACGTGTATGTGCAGAGTAGTGTCCGATAGTGAGCAGACCTGGGCAATACTTTTGGGCTGAGACTTTTTTTCAGTAAAAGATGCAGATTTGGCGACATCAAAACTTTTCACAGATTCATGTCGGGTTCACCAAATAGTTCATTCCAAAAACGTAAAAACATCCCCTCCCCCCAATGAAAATGTTTCATTTTGACAATTTTGAAACAAAAACATTTGGATTGGTTGGTTGGCAATGACTTGTCGTCTCGAAATTTCCTTTATTCTTTTTTTAAATTTCAGAAACATTGCAAATGGCCAAAATCGAAACAGCCTCTTGTTCACAACTTTTCTATTTGCCGAGTATTTGGAATTTTGTTATTTTCAGTCCGACCCCAAATGATATTTTTTCCGACCTTTCGAACTCGCCAGCGAACCAAACGCTCTGCAATTCCTGCAGCTCTCTCAGGGTTAGTGACTGTCAGTGAGCAGATGAGCGTGTGGCGAGAGTGCAGCTGCGTGTGAGCGGACGTGTCTCAGCGTGTGCGAGTGAGGGGTGCATTAGTGGCTGTGAGTGTGACCAAGTGTGTGGGAGAGAGAGCGGCACAGCCGTGCCGGGACCCAGGGGAAGGCTCTGTGCGTCTCCCCAGCACCTTGGCCAGCTACCAGGTGGGAGGCAGACTCCCAGGGAGCTCGGATTTCATTGCCATCTTTGTGTAACTTGCAGTCAGTCCCACGCTGGTGTGTCGAGACCGGTGCAAGGGCGCCACCCAGAGGAGAATGTAGGTGACAGCAGCTAATTTCTGAGTCTGAAGCTCTGGGTATTTTTGGCCTCTCCTTTGCTGAACCAACGGGTCCCAGGCTAGGGCTGGTTGCTCTCTTTGCTGGCACATGGACTGTGGCTCTGCAGACACATATTGGCCGTGCCATGGGGGTGTCAGATCATGAGACAACAGTCACACACACACACACACGCACACTCACTCACACACACCAGCAGGCACAGCCAGGTAGAGCACACCCTGGAAACATAAATCTCACACGCACACACATTCTCATATGTCTTCTGGATGCACTTCGTAACGCCAGCTATAAATCATGGTATCATTGGGAATAGTGAGAAAGATGACCTCTCTTAGGACCAGGCGCTGGGGCGTACTGCTGCTCGCTCACCAAGCTACAAAGCATTGGCTTTGTTTGGAATAGCTCAGACAAATGACACCATCATTGTATTACACCAGCCTGCTAAGACAGCATTGCCACTACACACTGCCCAGGCTGTCACGTGACACACTCACAAACCCCTGGGAAACACACACACACGCTGGGGCAAAGTCTCCTGGGCCTTGTGCCTGCAATAATCTTTTACCACTATGCAAAGTGGAGGCAAAGTGTTTCTGATCTGGGTTTGTTTAGCACATCTTTGCACAGCGGTAAAAGGCCCCACCAGTGGCAAGGCAGAGACGCCAGCCCCCCCGTTCTCTCTTTCACATGCAGTGAGACGTGTCTCGTCTATGCCCCATTTTGGCAGGTGAGCAGCCAGCCCCGGCTTAGGAAAGACATTCCAAATTGCCAGTTTTGCCCTGGCACCCAGGTTCGTGGCCATTAATGCATTAGAGACCGAGCAGAGCAAAGCTTTGGGGTGGGGTGTGAGGATTTAGGGCTGTCGTCATGCGGATGCCCAAATGTTCCAAAAATCACGTGTGTGGCTCCAAAAAAAAGCAGGAGATTGAAAAAAGTAACTATCTGGGGAGGGCTCTGAGTTACTTCAGAGAATTCTTTCCCAGGTGTCTGGCTGCTGGGTCTTGCCCACACGCTCAGGGTCCAACTGATCGCCAGATTTGGGGTTGGGAACGAATTTTCCCCCGGCTCAGATTGGCAGAGAGCCTGGGGGATTTTCGCCTTCCTCTGCAGCGTGGGGCACGGGTCATTTGCGGATGTAAATGGGAGATTCTCTGTAACTTGACATCTTTAACCCATGGTTTGAGGACTGCAGTAACTCAGCCAGAGCGTAGGGGTCTGTCACAGCAGTGGGTGGGTGAGATTCTGTGGCCTGCGATGTGCAAGAGGTCAGACTAGATGATCATGATGGTCCCTTCTGGCCTTAATGTCTGTGAGTCTATGAGTTTCCTTTTTCGTTGCCTTCTGGGTTTGGAGCCTTTAGGGGCCACGTCGTCCAGCTTTTCATGAGTGTTTGGGTGCACCCAGCCTGGAAGGGTGCAGCGGATCATTGGGGGATTGGGGCAGGTCACTGACCGTCTCCCTTCTCCTGTGCTAGGTTTGGTTTTCAAACCGAAGAGCCAAATGGAGACGAGAGGCAAAGCTGAAGCTGGAGACTGACCGTGCAGGTGACAATCTCCGTGCATTGCTGCGTCGTGATGCTCCCAAGGGAGCTTTGACAGTCCTGTCCCCTCCGTGCACCTCCTCTCTCCCCTAGCCAAATGCTCTGGTCTGGAAGCAGCCTGTGGACAGCTTCCCAGACACCCCCAGGCAGTCTCCGATGGGCAGCAATGTCATTTATATCGTCTGTCCATCCCATCTCATTCTGCCCATGCAATTCAACCCTTCACTGCCGCTGGCATCCGGGACTGGTTCAGCCAACACATTGTCATTTCATTTTCAATCTCTAGGAAAACCTTCTCCCCTTCAAATTCTTGGGCAGCCGCATGGGCTGGGTTCAGTACAGCTGCCACCTTCACAAGCGCCCCTGCAGTGCCAATACCAGCTCTCCACGGACGCCCAAGCTCTGTGTTAGACATTGGAGAAGACTCTAAGTACTCTAAGGCTAGTGAAGCACAGGAATATCTCACCGAGGGAGGCCGTGCAAGCCCTGTTTTAAGAACAGATCAGCCAAACACCTGTCAGGGATGAGTTACATTTATTTGGGCCTGCCTCAGCGAAGTGGGGGGAAAGGGGTGGACTTGATTCCTTAAGGTCCCTTCCAGCCGTTTGTAGGATTCATACCTATGAAGATTGTTCTGTGGCGCTCTATGAGATTCTTGCCCCGGAAGTTGGTAGAGAGACGCCAAGATCATTTTTAATAAGGAAGTTGGAGAAGGGATCCAGGAGTCAGGACGCCTGGTTCTATTCCCAGCTCCGGGAAGGAGTGTGAGCTAGTGGCTGAAACAAGTGACTGGGAGTCAGGACTCCTGGGTTCTGTGGCTGACGTGCTGTGTGATCTTGGGCAAGTCACTTCACTTCTCTGCGCCCCGGTTATGAAATGGAGGTGATGACTTTCCCCAGTGGACGGGTGGCTGTGAGGCTCGTGAATGTTTCTAAAGCGCGTGGCAGCCGTCGCTAGCGAAGCGTCCATACGATATTCTCTTCCTTGCCTTGCCCAGGGTCGTGGTGTGACTGGATTCTGTCCCCCTTTGCACCAGCTCCCCAGGCCTTTGCTGCTTTTCATCCGTCCTCAATGACCGACACCATCTCCACACAGGTAGGCAGTGTGCCCAGATCTCCTCCTGGGCCAGCTCTGCCTGGGAGGCTAACCCTAGACCCAGGGTTTTTCCCGTTTCCGGTGTAATCCCCAGGCTTCCCCTCTGCCCGTCAGACCCACCCCGTCAGCCAGCAACGGGGCTCTGGCCCTTCTCCCTGGGGATGATCCCGGCTGGATCCACCCCGTCAGGACGGTGGATTAGAGTATAGCAAACTAAGACCCCCATGAGTTCTGAATGGGCGCGTCCACACGGGGGTTTAATGCACTTGAACATCACAGCGTTAGTTAATGCATTTTAACTCTCCGGAGTGCTCCCACGTAGACGAGTCCTGAAGGAGCAAAGCAGCTGGATTCCTGTGAGAGAGGAGCTGGCCCAGAGCAGGCTGGGTCCCTGAGTTTGGAGCGTCCCATCAAGCGTGGCCTTGCTCCTAGCGGGGTGCTGGTGGCCGCTGCCCAGCGATGTTCTCTGGGTGGCCTTCCCAGTGGGTGACGTCTCTCTCCTTTCTGCTCCCCTCACAGCACCTGGCTGCCTCCCCGGACACCCCCAGCTTCACTGTCTACCCGGGGACCTCCCAGCCACTGCATCTGAGCGCCTCTCCGCCCGGCGCCTGGGAAGAGCCTTGCTGTGGTAAGTGGGGCTGGACGACTCCAGGCCTGGCTCCTGCACCGCGTGGTTTCCTCAGCGTCCCCGGCTCAGCCCGTGGGGTAATAGGGCCAGGGACGTCTGTCCTCCACTGCTCCATGGGAGGGGGTGGATAGCTCAGAGAGGGCACAGATGAGTAACCCAGAGGGAGAGCACCCCACAAGGCTCCAGTGACAGGGGAGAAGGAGTGAAGTCCCCCTCTTTCCCTCCCCTGGAGACTCCATCTCAGGCAGAAAGGAGACCTCAGGGGTGGGGAGGAGACAGGCAGGGCACCTGGGGGAGGGGAACCCAGGACAGCCCCCACCTATCACTGCCATGTGCACCCAGCTCTGAAGGCCTCTCCTCCAGGGATGCCCCCAGCTCCAGGCTCGCTGGGGATTCACCCAACCCCAGTTAGAAGGGGAAGAACCAAATGACATGGGCCTGGCTGATCCTTTGTTCTTTCGCTGCAGGGCTGGCTCCCGGGGGCACTCTGCCTCCAGCTTCTTGGAGGCCAGCTCTGGCCCTCCCTCCCTTGGATGCCTCGCCCTTCGCTCTCCCCGGCGGTGCCCCGCAAGTCTCCTTCGCTCTGCCGCCCAGTGCCACAGCGATGCCCCCCTTGCACCCTCCTACTCCCCCTCTGCTGTCCAGAGCCCAGTTCCTCTCCGAGGATCGGACGCCTGGGTTCCATCCCCGCAACCCCGGCTCAGCAGCAGCCTTTGGACACTTCCACTCCAGGCTTCAGGGCTTATGATGTTTCCCTGGTGTACTCGGAAGGCAGCAGGCCCCAAAGATGGGCTGCCCTGCCCCTTGTTGACTTGCAGCCGGGCGGGAGCCCACATAACCCCGTTGTCTAAACCATTCCCTAAGGGGAAATCTGACGCTGAACCTGGGCTCAAGGCGTCTAAGCAACTTCATGGCCCCGATGCTGCTGATTGTCATTAGGGATGTACCTCCCCGTCGCTGAGAGCTGCCCGCTACCCCGGAGAACACTCAGCTGTTAGACCCCTCCCCATCAGCACGCACTCCCGCAGGCATGGGAGGATGGGCCACAGCCCCTGGGGCTCTTGGCCGGGCTCTCAGATGGGGCCCAAGCACAGAGATAGGGTTATCCTTAATGAACCACCCTGTCACGGAGTGGGGGGGGGACACAAGGCCCTGCACCCCCGGCTTCCTGCGATTCACCATGGCTCTCAGCCAGCCAGTAAAGCAGAAGGTTTATTTAGAAGACAGAAATATAGTCCAAGACAGGTCTTGCAGGCACAGACAACAGGACCCCCCACAATTAGGTGCATCTTGGGGTCCCAGGGCACCACAGCCCCCTGGGGGGGGGTCAGAGCCCCATCTGCCTGCCAGCCATTCCACCATCCAGTTCCTGAAACTCCCTCCCCAGCCTTTGTTTAGTTTCCCGGGCAAAGGTGTCACCTGGCCTCTAACCCCTTCCTGGGTTCTCATGTTACATGCTCAGGTATTCTCCCTCACAGCCAGTCTCCCATCCCCCCATGCAGACCATCCTAGCCACACTCCCCTGCCTTCCCAGCCAACACTCCCCACTCAGCATTCAAAGACCACATTAAGAACAGTCCCAGTTCGTCACATCTCTCCCCCCTTCGAGACTGAACCGAGCGGGGTAACTTCAGCCAGTGACCTGGGAAAGTTCGAACCTACCCACGTTCCCGTGGATGCTCCAACATCCCTCCCATTCCTTGGTGAGAATTACACCAGGCCCTTCCAGTTTCACGCCCCCCCTTAGGTCGGGTGTGCTCGATGGCACTCGTAGTTCACATGGGGGAAGGTTTATGCGGCCCGTGCCCTTTTCCCACCCCAATACCCCTGGGGTTCCAACTGGGCTGGGGTCTTCTCCCAGCGTTCCAGTCTGGAGGTCTGTGATTCGGGCTCTCTTGGTTCAGAGCCACCCTTTTGACCCTGGCCACCCCCTGGAAAGGCTCCTCTATGATGGGCAAGGGTCCTAAAGCCATTTTCTCCTTGTCCCATGCCTTCCTCCCCCTCTGACAGGGGTCACAGGATCGGCAGTACTGTCGGACCGTAATAAAGACCCCAGGCCAGTAAAAGTTTTGTAGCAGCCTCTGCTGGGTACGCCAGGTTCCCTGGTGCCCTGAGAGGGGAATGTCATGGGCCCGGCACAGCAGCTGGCGGCTACACTTCCGGGGTACCACCAGCTGCCTCCTGATCCCCCCGACTCCATTTTCCCTGCGGGAGCCCATTCTCGGTACAGGAACCCCTTCTCCCACAGGAACCTTTTCCGGCCACCTCTCCCCATGGTCTGTACTGCACTGAGGTCGGTCAGGTCTCTTATCTTCCGCAAGGAGGACTCTTTCTGCAACTCGGCCTGGAACTCAGCAGCTGGGACAGGGATGGGCACCTGCTCTCTCTCGCCGGCTGGGTCTCTACCCAGTCAACCCTCTGTGGGTTGGGTCCGCTCAGTATGTCCCTGAGCCTGAGGCACTGGGCCAGTATGTGGCCTCTTTGGCCACAGTGATAGCAGCCCATGTCCCGTGGGTCTCCTCGAGTGGGTCGGATGGACCTGACGCTGGATGTTCCCCTTTGGTGGGGGTTCTCCATATTTCCTCGCTGGGAGGTCCCATGGTGACTCTCTCTCTCTGCGTTGTGGCGGGCCTGTTATCCCCTGCCCGACTGTTCACAAACTTGTCGGCCAGCTGGCCTGCGTGCTGCGGGTTCTCTGGCTTTTGGTCCATCAACCATCGCCTCAGGTCGGATGGGCACTGCTCATACATGTGCTCCAGTACGAATAGGTCAAGCAGGTCTTCTTTAGTTTGGGCCTCCGCTGTCCACTTGCGGGCATACCCCTGCGTCCGGTTGGCTAGTTATAGGTATGTGACCTCACGGGTTTTACGCTGACTCCGGAACCTTTTCCGGTACATCTCAGGGGTCAGCCCAACCTCGCGGAGCAGGGCCTTTTTGAACAGTTCGTAGTCCCCTGTCTCCGCCCCTTTCAGTCGGCTGTACACCTCCCTGGCTGTGGAGTCCAGTGAGGGGATGAGAAACTGGAGCCTGTCTGCAGGGTCAACCTGGTGCAGCTTGCAGGTATTCTCAAAGGCCGTCAGGAAGGTATCCATGTCCTCCCCCTCCTTACGCTGGGCCAGGAAGCACTTATCAAAGCTCTTTGCAGTCTTGGGTCCCCCCTC